CATTCGAAAGATTAGAATAAGTTGTGGATGAGTGGACACAAATAAATTACATTAATATGTTTAATAACGACATTTGATATATAGAAGAATTGTGTCGGGGTGAAGAACAAAATGGTTGCCAACGAATTGTTGTGGATGCCAGACTGGGAGTAGAGTTGATGAGAAATCTAAAAAGAACAAAAAAAAATAGAAATTAGAAAAATACAAAATAATCTATTAAGGGAAATATACTCTTTTTCATGTTTTGTAGAAACGTATAGTGTTATAATAGAATATCAAAAAGATAGTCTAGATGAAAAAGAATAAAAGACATAAAATATATGAACATATAACAAATGGAGCAATTGTGACCAAACGAATTAATATAATCTAACTATATATGCATGATACACTCAAAACCGTTAACTTATATATACATAGTTGCACTGATCTACACTCCCACAACAAACTCTAAGTTTATTAAATTTTGCTTAATATGATTCAAATCCCTAATTTCAATCAAACAAATTCTTACTTAATACACATGTCTTGTTTTGTTTTGTTTTCCAATTTCAATATCAATATCCCAACTATCCTCTGTGAAATTTAGGGATACCCTTCAAGACTTTATGTTCCGGTGTGATTCTTGATTTATTCAAATTTCATTCAACTGATTATGTTCAAATTTAAATATCAATTCCCAACAATCCATGATTGAAATTTTTGAATACCCTACAATACATTATGTTCCATTATTATTTTTGATTAATTCATAATAATAAACTATATTTGATTGAATAGGGCTGTGACTTTTCTCTCTTTGGATGAGTATTTCATTAGTTTTGATTGGCTTTAAGTTAAAGACTTGTGTTTGAAGGCAAGGAACACTTTCTTGTTATTTTCTATATAACGAAATGAACTTAAGAGTAATTTATTAAAAATAGACAATCAAGTTTTCTATTTTAAATGTAAATGAAAGTTTATATAATTAGACAATAGAACAATTAATTTAGGTTATAGAGATCATATGTATCATTGTTAAATGTTGTATTTAAATCTTTATGGATTATAATGGAAGGCTTGATGTGTAGAGCATTTGATACATTTCGGTTGAATGTTAGATAATTTTGTTGAATTAGGCCTCAACATTGCGAAACCATTAGAAATTAAGGGATCTCACTAGGTTAATTGTTTTTACAAACACAATTAATATCTTTGAAATGAGTTTACACATGCAAGTTTGGTTATCTAGTTGCACACCTAGTATCTTGTTTAGCCAATTAGACGTGATATGTCGTGTTATTTAGATGAGAAGAAGAGAGTGGATGAATTATGTGGGTATACAGAAGATGGGTATCTCAACTGTGAGCTGGCGGTCATGCGGGCCCTAGGAGGCTGGCATATGGAGTTACCAATCGGTTAGAAAATCATTGCTTCTTAGAAAACAAGATGTTAGACAAATGGTGTTGAGTAGAGATGCACAAAGACCCGATCCGATCTGGTTTGATGATGTAATGCTGAATCCGATTCAACCTTTAATCCGAACCGGTTTCAAACCGGATTTGACCGGTTTTACGATCCCCGCATCCGATTCGGTTTAATCCGATCCGACTTTGCCTTTTTTTTTTTTTTAAATACAAATTTTTTGGACCTCAAATATAACACAAAATGCAACATGGGTACATTAAAATAGTTAAAACATACATCAAACGTCGAATTAGAAAGAGTTTTTAAACTAGTTAAATAATAATAATAATAAAGTGGCGTTATAACATTTAGCTAAATGAAAATAGTTTTTGTGGTCTTCTACTTCGTGTCGCCTTCATTTAATTATTCTTCAACCGCCACGCAAGTAACTAGGGGTCTCATCAATGCCATATTCTTCATCCCCGTCTTCGTCTTTGACTTCATCGTCACCGTCTTCGTCTTCCGGAGGTGTTGATAAGCCTTGTGCATATTCTTCATCCATGATCTCCAGTTCAACATTTTGTGATAGTGGGCCTTCTAGTGATGCCAAGTGTTGTATACATTCCACAGAATCCAAGTAATCCTTCAAGCAAACGCAAACCTCTACCGCAACCAGGGTAAGATTCGTCCTCAACTTTGATAAAACTCTTCCACTAAAAGAAAAAACGGATTTCGAAGCTACCATGGTAGCTTGGACGGTTAGTAAATCGGTCCATGACGGAGAGAATAGGAAATTGTGCTTCCTTTTCTCTCCACCAAGCCAAAAGATTCAAAATTTTAAATTGTGGTGCACTCATGAATTTTAAAAAGTTTGAACCCATATAAATTCAAAGTTCGCTACTAGGCGTTAATGTGCGTGCTCTTTTGTTTTGCTCCTCCAAAAGGTAGTTATAGAGGTCGAAATGAAAATCCGTTCGACCCACACCACTATCCGATGCACCGCTAGTAGAGTCGGTTACACTTGCAAAAGTGTTTGACATTTTGTCATATTTTGTAGCGTAAATGTCAAACAAATTAGTAAAAGTATCATTACAATGTTTATTTGGTTACGGATGTAGTTTGAGTTATCTTTGTGCAAATTTAAAGACATAGAAATTTTGGTAATCAAAGTCTCTACACCCGTAACATTGATACATGGGTTTAATGTTGCAGCGCAAGTAAAAAGTGGTGGCATTTCTTTGAAATATTAGACTAGTTTTTGTCTCATTGGTCTCGTAACCAAAACAAATATTTCACTTCTTTGTTCAAAACATTCCAATTGTGCGGACATCAACCATAATTCATTTAGTAACAACGGACTTGTAGGGTAACACACACCCGATAGAAAAGTGGTTGATTGTTTAAAAACTTTTAACATTTCCACAAACTCTTCCATTAAATCTCAATCATAATCCGAAACCGGGTTTTTTCCTTTTGAAATTGTGTCGTAAAATAATTGCAAAGCGATTCTTTGACGTGTCAAACTTTCAAACATCATGCATGTTGAACTGCATCTAGTGTCACAATCCCAATGAGGACAATATGAAGTTACATTAATGGAAATGGCAAACTTTCGATATTTTTCCATTGTTGCTTTATTTTTTCCAAAAACTCTAGTTAACACAGTTTTGAATTTTTCAATCGTCGAATCTATCATTTTTAAACCATTTTGTACCGTAAGATTAATAATGTGACAAACACATCTAGTATGAAAAAACAAGCCATCCAAAATAGGTTTATATTTTTCAATTAATCTTTTTGCCGCGACGGTATTGTTACTTGCATTGTCAAACGAAACAGAGAAGATTTTGTCGCGTAAATTATAAGTCTCTATAACGCTTACTAAAATTGAAAATAATCTTGCCCCCGTGTGAGGATGCGCAAAAAGTTCAAAAGCAATAACTCATTTGTTCATTACCCAAGTAGAGGGATCTATCCAATGTGCCGTGACACAAAGATAGCTTTTGGGACAACTACCGGTGGAGGACTAAACGTCACAGGTTAAAGAAACACCGGTTTTTATATTTAAAAATCCCAACTGCATATCTTTTTTGGCTATATCAAAATACTTTAAAGCATCACCTCTAAGAGAAGTACGACTTACTTGCCGGTATTGCGGTTGCATTTTTTCCCACAAAATCCTTGTTAATCGCAGGTTGTCGAAGTGGTTGAAAGGAGAGCCCTCTTGAATCACGAACTTGCAAAAGCTTTCATGAAGGTCATCATTGTTCTAAATGAAGATCGACCCATCGGGAGTAATATTTGGTTGACTTGGATCGCTTTGACCTTTTACAGCCGGACAAGTTTTTGTTGTATGACTCCTTAATGTGCTATTGCCATCTTTTCCCAAAAACATTTCGCACTTCATGCATCTCGCTTTTTGCTTCCCGTTCGTTAACAAACACAAATCGTAATGTTCTCACACTTCTTTACTCCGAGTGGTTGGTATGATTTTAACCACCGTTGCATCCGAATCTTGACCCGCGGTTGAATTTCTCGAGCTCATTTTTTTTAGCATTATGAAAATAAGTAGTAAATTTTTTGTGTAAAATTGAAATGTAGCAAATGAAAGGTATATATAGATGTTTAGAAGTGCCAAAAAGTCAAAAAAAAGTAAAAGTAGCCGTTTTTTTTTTAAGTTCTAACGGCTAGCTAGAAAAAAAAATTCAAATTTTCCCGTTTTCTAACGGTAACAAAAAAATACAGTTTCAAACCGGTTTTGGATCCGGTTTCAATCAGATCCGGTTCTTGATCCGGGGTATAATCTAATTTCTTGTCCGAAGTGTCGAACCGGTTTCAATCTGGTGACCGGTTCAATCCGAACCGGTTCGGTCAAAACCGGTTTTGACCAAATCCGATTTTCGGATCGGATCGGAACCTATAGGCCGATCCGTTTTGTGTGCATCTCTAGTGTTGAGCGAAGATGATGAGATTATGATTATCAGATGTGCTGGTGGTATCAAATCAAGCAGCTGTCGGTGTTGCTACTTCATATGTGTCATAATTCTACTGCTATTGTGGTTTTGTTTTGATAATAATCAGGTCGAGTCGGTTACGGGTTCGGGTGGCCCGTGATTATGGTACGTGGGGTGTTGTCTGATTGCATAAAGTGAATTAGAATGTGAAAATACATAAATTTTTGTATTATTGTGTTTGTAGTAAGGTCTATTTGTAGGGCTGCCACATATGAGTTGGAAAAAGTAGTCTAAAATTTGTAGTGGAATTGAATCTACAATGAATGATTATTGTTTTTTTGGTATAGTCTATTTGTAGGGTTGCGTCAGATGAGTTAGAAAAAGTAGTCTAAAATTTTGTAGTCGAATTGATTCTGCCATAAAAGATTATAGAACTGAATGGTTTTTGTCATATGAGTTGTTGTTTGAATCCATATATACATCTAAAGGTAAGTTAATATTTGTATAACATAATATATCTTTATATGCCGATAATTAAGTTTGGTGTGAACCTCTAGTCATTAGTATATATAGTTACATCAATACCTTACGGATTACAATATCCACAAGAAACAGAAACAGAAATATATTTGATGTTTTAAAAGGAGAGCTAGATTAAAATCACTCTGTCCAAGTAATATCTAAATCTCCCCAGTTATCCTCGGATACTCCTAAGGCCTTCCACACTGCTTTGGAAGCGTCAACAATATTATTAGGGCATGGTGGTTGATAGTCATGATCACCATCGCACCCCATAGTAGAGTCACACTCATCCACAACCATTGCCTTTACACTCCTCCCATTTCCATTGATGGTAATATACTTGTGGCACCTATCCCCTCCCTTGTACCATCCAATTGACAGCGCCACAACTGGGGTCATCAGAGTGGTATTGGTTGTCACACTCCGACGGCCCACCACCATCACCTCCCTTTTGGAAACTGTTTATTGTCAGTGTTGCTTTAGTATCGCTGTCACTGGAGGCGAGCATGCATACGTGGTGTAAAACTTACCTTGGACACAACAATCCGAGTTGCTCTCACGGTTGCATTCTCCTGGAGGCGGTTTTCTTCACCGGATACCACCACTTGGTTTGCAAGTCTGAGCATTGATCTCCAATGAAGTTGTTGCCAGGAGAACCAAGAACATAACAAAACCGAAATTCTTCATTGCCTTTTAGATGTTGCTAGTTACTGTTTACAATGTTGTTGGATGAGTAGCAGGGCAAATGGGTTGTGCTAATGTAGCCATTTGATTAACAAAAAGCCAAAATAATAGTCAACTATGTTGTATTTTTTTTCAGGTGACAGATATTCTTCTACGGCAATAAAAATCCTTTGGATATTCACTTTCCCTTTTAATAAAACCAAGTAATTTTGAGTGCACGGACATACTACAATTTTGTCCATAATAAGTGCATGTTGAGTCTAATTTGGTCTCATTGTTGATTTATAAAGTATATCTAAAATTACAGCCACTATTCTTTTATTAGGGGAAATTATTTTCCATTGATTCTGTAAAAATAATAGATTCAAACTTTTACCATTCTAGCCGCATATTTCTCTTGTATATTACATATGCAGGTAAAATCACGTTGCTATAATTGCATATATCGCTTAATTAGTACTTAACATTATTCATCATTCCACATAATTAATCATGACCTTATCATATTACGTTTTAACCCTTTGGTTCTTGCATCACAGTAAATGTACTATATATCAAGCTCGACATATACATTTGGTACAAATATAGTAAAACAATTGACATTAAGAATCCTTTGGCTATTATTCCGCAATTAGTGTTCCACGTACGTAGGCTTCGATGCGGGTTGATACTTGCCGTTGACATGGTACAGTTTACTAATCAACTTACAATATTTGAAAATTTGATTCCAACTAATGTTTTAAAAACTGTTTTCAACCGGCCGGTCGAACCGGTTGGACCGGGAATCAAGGGAGAGAACGGTTCAATTATCACCGGTTTTATGTGAATTTTTGAACGGGATTTAACTGCCGGTTTGTAGAAAAACTCTGTTGAACCGCTTAAACCAAATAAAAATACATTCAACGGAACCATTTGCATAATAAACTTTAGTTATTTATTTCAAATCTATTTTGTTTTTCTCTAAATAAAATATATGGTAATGTTATAAAGTTTTTTGATGCGTATATATTCAATTAAAACTATATTTTGTTTCAGTATTATACTTTTTTTTACTTATATAGATTCACGTAAAAACACTACAACTTATAGTTATGTGTTATTTTAATGTATTTGGAATCATTCAAAACTTATTATATATATATATATATATATATTATATATATATATATATATATATATATATATTAATGTTTAAACTTGTAAACGTCAAGTTTATTATTTATATATGTATGCATGTTTAGAAAAATAGGAAAAATATAAAAGTTTTAGAAACCGGTTAACCCGGCGGTCGAACCGGTTGAACCGAAACTGGACACCATACTGGTTCTACTATAAAACCGTTTTTTAAATGTTGATTCCAACTTCTTAGTTAACTTGTAATTATCTTTATATCTCTATCATCTATGTTTGTGCTAGCGAATTCATATATTTGAGTGTCTTTAAATACCACAATCCGATTCTAAGTTTTTATATCAAAATCGTGTAAAAACTTGTCCTGATACTATTTCACCTTACGGTACACCATTTTTTACACTAAAAATATATCTCATAGCAAGTTCCTTTTTTCGATTTATATATATCATTTGGATTATTAGCTTTCAATATATGTACTTACATCTTTTGTGTTATATAAAATTAGTAAAATATATTATTAATAAAATATAACCAATTACATTATTACTTCGAATTATTTTAATCTTTTAAAATGAAAATTAATAAATAAAATAATTACATTCGAAACATTAGAATAAGTTGTGGATGAGTGGACACAAATAAATTACATTAATATGTTTAATAACGACATTTGATATATAGAAGAATTGTGTCGGGGTAAAGAACAAAATGGTTGCCAACGAATTGTTGTGGATGCCAAACTGGGAGTAGAGTTGATGAGAAATCTAAAAAGAACAAAAAAAAAATAGAAATTAGAAAAGTACAAAATAATCTATTAAGGGAAATATACTCTTTTCATGTTTTGTAGAAACGTATAGTGTTATAATAGAATATCAAAAAGATAGTCTAGATGCAAAAGAATAAAAACCATAAAATATATGAACATATTACAAATGGAGCAATTTTGACCAAACGAATTAATATAATATAACTATATATGCATGATACAGTCAAAACCGTTAACTTATATATACATAATTACACTGATCTACACTCCCACAACAAACTCTAACTTCATTAAATTTTGTTTAATATGATTCAAATCCCTAGTTTCAATCAAACAAATTCTTACTTAATACATATGTCTTGTTTTGTTTTGTTTTCCAATTTCAATATCAATATCCCAACTATCCTCTCTGAAATTTAGGGATACCCTTCAAGACTTTATGTTCCGGTGTGATTCTCGATTTATTCAAATTTCATTTAACTGATTATGTTCAAATTTAAATATCAATTCCCTACAATCCATGATTGAAATTTTTTAATACCCTACAATACATTAAGTTCCATTATTATTTTTGATTAATTCATAATAACAAACTATATTTGATTGAATAGGGCCTTGACTTTTCTCTCTTTGGATGAGTATTTCATTAGTTTTGATTGGATTTAAGTTGAAGACTTGTGTTTGAAGGTAAGGAACACTTTCATGTTATTTTCTATATAACGAAGTGAACTTAAGAGTAATTCATTAAAAATAGGCAATCAAGTTTTCTATTTTAAATGTAAATGGAAGTTTATATAATTAGACAATAGAAGAATTAATTTAGGTTATAGAGATCATATGTATCTTTGTTAAAAGTTGTATTTAAATCTTTATGGATTATAATGGAAGGCTTGTTGTGTAGAGCATTTGATACATTACGGTAGAATGTTAGATAATTTTGTTGAATTAGGCCTCAACATTGCGAAACCATTCGAAATTAAGGGATCTCACTAGGTTAATTGTTTTTACAAACACAATTAATATCTTTGAAATGAGTTTACACATGCAATTTTGGTTGTTCTAGTTGCATAACTAGTATCTTGTTTAGCCAATTAGACGTGATATGTACAGTGAATCATGCTTCATTTGCATCTATCTCATGGACTAATGCATTTGTATTCACCTTTTTATACATTGTAAACTGTCCAGATAGTCTCAAAACCATACTCCTCCCATTCAACCCAAACATGAGATCAAGAAGTCTCACACAGAAATCGGAACTCACACGCAAAGCAAACTAAGATGAGTGCATCATATGTCAAAATGACCACTCCAAGTTCCATTTTCCTTCTACGCTATTTTTGACGGCCATGGCAGCTCCAAAACAACATTATGCTTGAAAAATCACTCCATGGAATTATTCCTTCAACATTACCAACTCCCACAATCTTCATATATGAATTAAAAACGCCGACTCTATGATTTTAAGGTTTCTATGCTAAAAAGAAAAATGGGGTCCTAAATACAATTTTTTAATATATAAGGAAAACAAATTTAAGATGGTGAATTTCCGTTACAGAAAACTTTAAAGTTCATAAATTAATTAAAAAGGAAGATATGGAATTTTATAAAATGTTTAATGGCTAATTATGTAACTTCTTAAAACTGATTTGTTAAACATATTAGAATGAGGGGTTGATTATGAAATATATAGCATAAAGAAATGGTCAAATGTGTAACTTGAATTTAAAATATCAAAAAGCTATGAAAGAGGATAGAACCAACATTGGTTTTGAATAAAAGACATGGCTTTTCCATTTGGTCTACCCAAACTCTAAGGAATATTTTGAATAAATTCATATATATTTAGTTTTTAAATATATAATTTAATTAAAACTCAGGCCCTATTTTTTTCGGGGTCCTGTGCGGTTGCCCCTGTTGCTCCCCCCCCCCCCCCCCCTCCCCCTAAAACCGGCCCTTTGAATTAATCATTTTTAAAGAATCTAAAACATTCCCATTGCAAAGCCTTTCTACTAGCTGACCAAACCCTCACTAACAAAAGTAGCATCAACAGTTATTATGTAAGGAGTGTGCAAAAAAACTTAAAATCCGAGCCGATCCGGCCAATCTGAAACCTTAAAAACTGAAACCGAAAATAGCCAAAACCGAAAAAAACTGAAACTGAAGAAACCAACTATCAATGGGTCGATTAATGTTTGGATATTTCAATATCCGCGGATACCCAAACTGAACAGTAATATATATATATATATATATATATATATATATATATATATATATATATATATATATATATATATATATATATATATAAAAGCTAATGTAAAAGTAATTAAATTAAATTGACATAATAAAATAAGAAACTGGATGATATATGTTTTCTCATCTAACATGCTTGTTTATGTCTATTGTATTTTTCTATTAGAGTTTAGAACTTTAGATTTTCATCGCTTATATCTGCTTCATAAATTGTGTCTCTGTATGTTTTCTTACAAACTGTATGGTATATGTTTTCGGTGTGCAATATAGTTATCCATGAAATTGAGAAATTGTTTTTATATTCCTAAACTGAGATATTGGTAGTTTGTATTTTTTATTATATTTTGGATTTGTTATATTTAGTGGGTACCGAACCATGGTTACCCATCTTCAAATTGTTCTGTCCGGTTCGGGCTTTTACACAATTCGGTTCGGTTTCGGTTAGTGCACATTAGATATCCTCCCCTTGGTTACGATTCACAATTTTATGAATATCCGAAACGAACCTCTCCATGAACGCCCTAACTATGGGATAACCAAATTAACTGTTTTAATCCTCATACAGCAATTGTAAATCGTTAATACCGGTTTTCGGGATTTTAAACCCTTAGAAGACAACTTTCACAATTGTTTGAGTAAAGAGAAATGGCCTTTTAGCACCTCTTTCCAAGAGATAGGAGAATCGCTGACTCACTACTTAATAAGAAAGTGGAAACACATATTGCTTTAATCATCAATCACTAGTGATGCTCTCCCATGAATCTCTTATGAGAACAACAAAGA